TATTCTCTATATGTTTGGTATGTTGTCCTTTGCTGCTCATACAAGGACATTTTTCTTAATTACTGTCATGCTTTATGATATTTCAGCACAACAATAGATACTAGATTTAAGGGAGAATGATGGCAGGAAACGGACAACTATCAGTTCCTCCAGGTTTCAGATTCCATCCAACAGATGAAGAGCTTTTGTACTATTATCTGAGGAAGAAGGTCTCTTATGAAGCCATTGACCTAGATGTTATCAGGGAGGTGGACCTCAATAAACTTGAGCCATGGGATCTCAAAGGTTAGATGATCATTTCTTTTTGCTCATCTTGAAATTTTCCTTATCAGTTTAGAGTGATAAGTTGGAACCCTGATTAATTTTATACATACGTATGGTATAATTATTTTTCTGTCATCACAATAACAGGTGAAGGTTGCGAATATCCCCACGCAACTAGTTAGGGTTGTTAGTAATGTAAAATCATTTCATGAAAACATCGCCTAACAACTTAAGTTTTTTGATGGAGTGATTCTTTGAGAAGGACTAACTCACTTGGTGTTGATCAGTTGTAATTATTTATGAGTTTAGGGAGCTCGACTCATGATAAGTTTGAACTGTAATTTTATATATAGTACGAAATTGATCTCGCCAAATCCAAATCAATAATCGTCATTATTCTTGTGGAAATGCAGACAAATGCAGGATTGGTTCGGGTCCTCAAAACGAGTGGTATTTCTTCAGCCACAAGGACAAGAAATATCCAACCGGAACTCGAACAAATCGGGCAACCACAGCAGGGTTTTGGAAAGCAACAGGAAGGGATAAGGCCATCCATCTTAGCAACTCTCAGAGGATTGGTATGAGAAAAACCCTAGTCTTCTACACTGGACGTGCTCCTCATGGTCAAAAGACTGATTGGATCATGCATGAGTACCGCTTGGATGATGACAACTCTGAGGTTCAGGTAAATAATACACCAAACAGAATCAAACTTATATTTTCAAAAAGAAGAATATTAATAATGAAAATTTTAAATATAGTTCACCATTGACCCAAGATCTTGGTCTCCTTCCTAGCTCATGAACTTAGGTCGTTTAATTTTAAACGAAAGAAGAGCACTGATATTATGTTGCTATTTCTGCAGGAAGATGGTTGGGTTGTCTGCAGGGTTTTCAAGAAGAAGAATCAGACTAGAGGTTTCCTACCAGAAGTTTCTCAAGAAGAACACTTTTCTCACATCAAGCCTAGCGCTTCTTCTCTTCCACTAGAGCCAAAACAAAACCACATGCAATCACTATATGATGACTATACCTTTGACGGCTCCATGCATCTCCCACACTTGTTTTGTCCAGAATCAGCTGTTGCCCCGTCATTTGTATCACCTCTCTCTTTGAACAACATGGACGACATTGAGTGCTCACAGAATTTGCTGAGGTTAACATCTACGGGTTGTGGACTTGTGCAACCTGCAGGGAGGTTCAATGGCGATTGGTCATTTCTGGACAAGCTTCTTGCTTCTCATCAAAACCTGGATCATCATCAGCACTACCAAAACAAAGGCAATTCTTCATCCCAAATTGTTGATCATGTGGGTAATTCAACTCAGAAATTCCCATTTCAATACCTTGGCTTTGAGACCGACATTCTGAGATTTTCCAAGTAGAGTTGCCACTTCCGAAGTCATTAACCGTGCTACATCTTATCTTCTTAAGCTGGAGGTAGCAGACATCTTTATTCGTAGTAGGGATGAGGAATCCATATTAATTATGTAGTTGAATTTCTGTTCTTGCTATTTTATGAATTGGTTTCGATTATTAAAAATGTATATAGATAAGTTCAAACTACTAAGAACAAGATCATTAATTCATCTTATTATCCTCCTTTTGTCTCTTTTATCCTAATTTTCCTTTTTTCTCTGCAAGTTGACCAGTTCCCTTGCATGCCTTCTTTTCTTTCAGAAAATGAGTGTACAAATAGATTGTATACACCGTCTGGTCAGAAACATTACAACCCACATACAGCTTAAAGAACCCCAATCTAATCAGAAATAAATATATCACTTTTCAAAAACATTATTAATAAAACTTGAATTTAAAGTTTTGAAAGAAATCAGTTTTATTATTAACATATGAACCAGTCTAATGCAACATTGTATTGCATGCCAATAATAGTATGCAACTCACCTAATTTTTAGTTCATATAGATTAAAGCATCAAGTAGCTAGCTAGCTAGGATTTGGGCAGCATTATCTGTTTTTTTTTTTTTTCTTTTTCTTTTTTCAATGGAAAGCCTAATAAACCTTTAACCATATATACAATGAAAATAATCCTCCCATGAATCCTTCAATTCTCACTCCTCGCAAAAGTTTAAACATGAGACCTTTTAGTAGATACACCTAGTCTTAAGGGCTGTAATATTATTCATTTCGATTTTAAAATTACAACAGAATTAGGAAAGATAAAAGAAATCATAGATTTTTTTTTTCCAGTTTTTTTATCCCTCCTATCAGTCACGGACAGTAACTCATCGGTAGTTTACAGTTATGGATGTATATTCTTGTATGTAATATGTGATCAACAAACGAAATATTGAACAGGACGTTAGAGGTCTAAATTAATGTATATATGCAACATTTCCCAAAATCTCAACATGGTCTGAAATGTCTCAAATTATATATAGTATTAATTGATAATAAGACAAAGGTTGCACATGATAAAAGCCTGCCACAACTTCAAACTAAAATGATTTTTCGATACAAAGTAAAGCAAAACTCCAGCTTCCAAAACTATGTGAAACCTTCAAAACCATAAATTTTCAAACTAAATTATTAATTATTAAAGGAACTCATTATACATGTGATGACTGGTTGATTAAAATTAAAAAACATGTCACACACAGACGGTGATGCAGGTCTGATTAGCGTGGAGTGTGATGCAGGTCTGATTAGCGTGGAGTGTGAAGAAAGTCCTCGTTGCACAATATGTTTGCAAAATAAGTCATTCTCATTGGATAAAAGACTCCTTCACACTCAAATTAGTAGTCGAAAAATAATGAATTGGTCTAAAAGGATTCTTTTGTGCTAGTATGTCTAATTTGTGTGTAATTTAAAAAAAAAAAAAAAAGAAGAAGAAGAAGAGAGTTGTATAAGATATAAAATCTGTACATGTTAAGAGTGTTTTTCTGATCCAATTAGGAATTTTTGAAACTAAGAGAATTGGAATCAAACCTCTTTATTTTATGGTAATTCTAGCCTTTATATAGATGGTTTTTGGTGCAACTTAGAGGATGAAACAGACAGAAGTGTTATTTTTTTTTTGAAATTAGTAGAGGAATAAAGGAGCCCACGAGTGTTGATGCTATGTTATCATTGTATTTAATTCGTGATAATGTTAGTGCAATCATGATGAATATAGATTTGATTGATGTCCATCATTGAAAATTTTTCATTAAATATTTTATGTCTGAATGACAGTAGAGGAGTGCAGCGTATTTCTTTTCTAGGCTAGAGCTCCATAAGATAGCAGGATTCTAAAACTCTCCTTTTAAGAATGGTCCGCCTTATGAGAAGTGGTCATTCTTCGAGAGATTTTTTTGTTTAAAGAGTTAGTTCCTCTTAATAAACTATGGGCTTGAGTTGGGCCTGATGAGTTTTGGAATTGCAAGCTCATAGGTCCTTTCTGTTGGGTTATATTAGGGTAAGGCTCCCCATCATTAGTCATTCCTAAGTCTTGGCTACCTTACTTAATCTAGACTTAAAAACCATTGGCTGGAGCATTTGAAAGGGCGTATTCCTTTACTGACAGAGATTGTATGTGTTCTCTCTGTTGACATCGTTTGGCTCTGGTTGGTAAACAATCCTTCTCTTTTTAACCTTAACGCTTCGAATTCGATGGTTTCGAGTGAGGAAAGAGCAATCGAGTGGCTGCATCTTCTCATATTTCCATAAGAGTAATGAATATTCTCATTAAGAGTCTCCACGTGGAATTTACCGCCTTATGTGGTATTGTCGCATCAGTATGAGTCAACAGTGAGATTTGGAGTTCATGAATATATACCAATGCTCTTTAAAGAGTAGGTGCCGAGTTTGAACCTGGGGTGAGTCAGATGAGAGTTGAGGGCTGCGGCCACTAGGCTAGATGGTCAGAAACCATACGATGAGTAAAAAACAATTACTTCTTGAGTTCTTGAAATAGCCCACGACGTATCGACATCACCGACTTTCTGTGTTTAAGAAATGCATTCCGTCAACCCTCAAGAACCAGATGACTCGTCACCATTATCATGTCACATAAAACAAACATTTCACGGTCAGACTAATCATAATTAATTTGTAAAGTCAGAACGCTTACTTCATCCCATAATTTGTGAAAAGAAGTACAACCTCGCCGTAACATTTAAAATTGTTAAAAGAGTTGAATAAAATCATATCCCAAAGCCCCATCCTCAAATGATAGAAATGATTGTTTATCATGATAGTAAAACAACTTATTGAGATACTTCTTCGATAAATGTAAAGCTTATGCTATAAAAACACGAACATATTCACAATTCATCCTTGCAAAAGTCATACTCGTAAGCGTACACGCAACAGAAGTATGACGTTTCCTCATCTTTCAGCCTTTGCAACCATTTGAGGAGAAAACTACTAAAAAAACATTAAACTTGTCCAGTCATACAAGATAAATATTTAAGAAAAGGAATGTCTGCAAATGCCTACCAACAACAGAAGTTTACACATCCATTGCCTTCCAAAGTTAGAAGAGCGGACAAAAGAGAGGGGGATGGATTTGATGAGCGAGGAGACGACCAATCAATAGATTGCCAAAAGTCGTTGTCAGAGGGCTTCAGTCATGGTGTAACACTCCAACCTATACTGATTATAGAATGGTTTCAAAACACATTCCCTCTTCAAAGATAAACAGCCAAAATTCCCACTGAAAAAGGACACTCAGTCCAACAAGAGGGTGATGCTGCAACTCAAGCCTATATTTCACCGACAAACTGGAAAATTTTCCTCATTCCGAGAGTTCAGACTCCAACTTTCTCCTAAACCAAGTCACTTGAAAGCTAAAATAATCTACCCCATACTCAACGGCTGTACAAAGAGAAACCGAAGACACTATTGAAAGCCCTTCAAAACCTGAAACCATAACCAGAAGTAAACTTCCATATCCATCACTTCATTAATGGTGCACACCATTGCCATTGCTATATACGCCATTTAGTGATCCATTTGAAGACTTAATGGCATTCCCATTTTGGTAGGGTTTCAGGGTTGGTTTTCCGTTGCTCATTCCATTTGGCAATAGATGACCATAATTTTGTAGGACGACATCCAACTGCCCACTTGCTGCTGCTACAAGTCCTGTGGCATAGCAAAGGAATTAAGGAGATACCCAAGTAGGAAGAAGATGCTCAAATGTGAATTTGACCAGGCATGACCTAGAATGGATTCCATGTCCTCAGATTGCCCAAGTCAAATGCAAAATAATAATGGGGACTATGATAATGATGGTGGTGACTACTCAAGCACCTTGGAAGTTAATAACAATATCATGTGTATCAAAGCTAAAATAGAACTTCTGAAAACAGGAAGCAACGGAGGAAGACAGGAAGGAATTGTTTTCCCTAAATGATATAATTTCTAATGAGCTTGTTATCAAGTTTGAGCCCAGCTGCAGTCATGATCTTTAGACAGCACCCTTCAAAATTTAGCTTCAGACCAGAAGCATCATCAATTAAGGTACAGGAGCTTATCGGGAATAAGAACAACCAATATAAGGTCAAATAATTTGTTCAGGCATACCATCTAATGCCAAACGATACTTTATAAAATGTCAACCAACAGAGTTGTGATTAATGAATATAATACCTAAGAAAAGAGCTGAAGGTTTTCCTGGCCTTGACTTGAATTCAGGATGGAACTGAGCACCAACAAGGTATGGATGACTATGTAGTTCAATGATCTGGTCAAAATAACAGTAAAATGCTCATAAACATCTGACACCAAATGTAACACAAAGCTTTGTGGAATATATCACTTGCCATGCTTTCACAGAAACTTACCTCCATGCGCCGACCAGTTTCATCTCTGCCAACAAATGATAGACCAGCATTTTCAAATTCTGGTACCATGGCTGGATTGACCTACTCAAAACAAACAATTTCTTAACAATCTGACAATTACAATAGTAGGGATATATTGCACTTTTTTTCTTCATGCAGAGTAGTTCCACTTGTTTGCCTATGGGCAACAGTTACCTCATATCTATGCCGATGGCGCTCATCAACAAAACTGGCATTACCATACCTAAACACAAATGCAGATGATTAGTTAGGCTAACTAGAGCAATATTTGATTTGGATCTTTCAACCACTTTTTTCTCATGTCAAAGCTGTGCATCATCATCTAATGATATCTTCACACTAATAATAATTATGTATTTGTACATAGGAAGATTATACTAACAAAGCATATATGTGGCACACTCTAAATGAAGTCATACAGTACGATGGATGTGTATGAATATGAAAATAGTCGTAAATCTTACAGCTTTGCAGATTTGCAATTAGAAACTTTGAAATAAGTCCTCCTTGACCCCAGACGCATAGTCCCCCCCATGTGAGTTTTGGAACCCTATCAAACAAAACAAAATTATAGCAAATAGCTTCAACATATGAAACAACAATTGACCAAGTTCCGCGATGATAGTCAGGACTGTAGCACTACATACCTCAGGCATAAAAATGACACAAGGATGTGAAGTTTGAGGATCAAATTCTGTACTGTTGGCATCATGCAAACCAAGAGCAGATCGTGCAAATTCAATTACAGCAATTTGCATCCCCAGGCAAATGCCCAGGAATGGAACTTTGTTCTCACGGGCATACTTTGCAGCAAGAATTTTTCCTTGAACCCCTCTATCCCCAAACCCTCCTGGAACTAAAACACCATCAGAGCCCTGCATTGAAAACAATCTCAGAAGACCAAATAAAAATGGTAAATACAAAACTAACAAAAAACAGCAACCAGCAGAGCATCAACTTAAAAGACAGATCTAAGATCACCTTCAAAAGGTTCCATGCATTTTTATAAACATCAGGTGCCTGCAAGGAGAAACAGTAGTCAAAAATAGTATTACAAGTACTAAACTGTAACATGCAGTATAGGATCCGCTTTTTATTTTCTTCATTCAAAAAAAGTATTATTTTCTTCTTCTTCTTCTTCTTTTCCCTTTTGGGGGGTGGGGAGGGGGGGGTTTGGAGGGGTGTCAAGTGGTTGATGGTGGGAGATGAGTCAAATCTTAAAATTGCAACACAGAAGTTGGATTTTTGTTTACCTCTTTAGCGGTAACATCTTCAAGATCACCTGCAGCAATCCATTCTACAACAAGCTTCCGCCGGCAAGCGACAGAAGCATGCAAAAGAGCCTGCCACAATAACCCAAAAACTTAGAATGTGATATCTCATAAGTTCTTTGTCCATGCAGTAAACAAAATCCACACAAAGGATACACACTATTCAGAACTTTTTTATCATACATGGTGTGGGTGGTGCTTCCTCTTCTAGAATGAGGAATGGCAACATAACATTTCTCATAGATTTTATGTTCAGTATAATTAGTTGCATTGAAATTAAACCTGTTCATCAAAGAGCATAATGCACATAAAAACTTTAGGAGATGTTTGAAGCCCTCCTAAGATGATAGGTTTTTGTTGGTCAGGGAACATATGATAGCTCCAGAAATAATACAAACATACTTTTAAGTTTTAAAGTAGAAAAAGCTTGCAACTGAGAATATGACCCAAAAATGGCAAGCAAGAAAGAACTCACCTTCAAAACAGAGAGGTAAGAATCTGAAAGGCCAGTATATTTTCCAACCATGGCAATTCTAACCTGTAATACCCATTAAGAGCAAGGTTAGATGGAACAAAAATGTAAATATCAATTTGCATCAGGGATGTCTTTGTGGCTCACAGGTTCCAGCAGTACGTCATAGACTCTTGTCCTAGCAGTCCACTCCTGTAAATAAGGCTCCCTGGCAACACTGAGGATTATGGAAATGTTAATACTCTGGTTAAAAGACCCAAGGTCTATGCAACAACATTACCATCAAGAACATGAAGAGAGAGATCATGCAGCAAATTAAAAGCAAAACAAATTATAATGGGAAACAAATAGTGAGTTCATAACACAAACCCTAGAAGGTTCAGTCCTTTTAAAATTGCTTCATGTGCCTTCTGATCCTAAACATGTTAAAAAATAACAATTAAAAAAAAGAAAAAAGCAGAGGAGGTTCTTGCTTGAAGCCTAGTACCAAGTTCTAAAAAAAAAAAAAAATCAGAAACCCAAATATAACTACTCACTCTTAGTAGTAAAGGGATGTGCCAGATGTTTGGGACATCGTACAGGGTGACTATGTTTTCAGCCTGCAAACAAAGCCAAATTGTCAGAATCGGTAACTTTGTTTAAAAAAAGCTTCACAAAACAATAAAAGTGTTTTATCTTGCATTACCGGCACATGACAAAATTGAGATAGTTTAGCCTTAACATTCTCATGTAGTGCCTGTTAAAGAAAGTTTAGAATTAGGAGCCTGCAACCACAGACAATGAAGGAAATATGAAATAGCAACTGGAAAGAAGAAAAGTGAGGAGAACCTTCGTGCTGCGACAAGCTAGAATGTTAGGTGTCAATCCAAGTCCTCTAAGCCCCCTAACACTATGCTGGGTAGGCTTCGTTTTCTATAAGTCAACATTCATAAACAACAATAGTTAGAGCCAAACAACTTACAGTAATTAAGTCAATACAATGCATATGAAAGTGCTTTAGTCAGCTTCATGTGTGTGAAACCAAGAATCAATGCACCATGCCATTTTAGGGAAGACAAAACTCTATAAGTACCTGTTCCCCAACAACATTAAGAACAGGTACCAGGCTGACATGGATCAAGCAGAAATTGCCAGGACCTAAAAAACAAGAAGCAGGTAAGTAAGAGTACTGTTCCACTGAAATCCATCTAAAAGAAAAATCTCTTTTATGAGCCTGTAAAACAGAGGTCCAGAGCACATAAACTTACCCACATGATAAGAGAACTGGCCAAGTGCCTCAATAAAAGGCATAGATTCGATGTCCCCTGCATAAGATTAGGTTCACTCTAATTAAACAAAATAAAAAAGGAAACAACTTATCTGAGACACGTCATCAGAAATTAACTACCTATAGTTCCCCCAAGTTCAATGACACAAACATCAGCTGGACCTTCTTTTCCATCCACTGGTACCATGGCTACACGCTCTATCCACTCTTGGATGGCGTCTGTGATGTGTGGAACAACCTGCAGTAACAACAATCAAAATAAAAATTTAATTTCATGGTACATTATGACAGGCTTCATTCAAGAACAACAGAATGTGGAACAGACCTGCACAGTCTTTCCAAGATAATCTCCTCGCCTCTCCTTCTCAAGAACAGACTGTTTAATCAAAGACAAAAATTTCAAGATAGCAGGAAATTGCAGTAAATCTGAATCTGATTCATAAAGTTTACTTTATTCACCATCCTGGAGACATTCATTACCTGGTATATTTTTCCGGTGGTTATATTGTTGTCACGGGTTAACTTAATGTCTAGAAATCGCTCATAATTACCGAGGTCCAGATCCACCTTTTACATCAAAAAGAAGTGATTAATCCCCCCTTTACCAAAAGCATGTTAATCATGGAAGTAAGCATGGAATTGACACTGAAGAGGGTGCTCAAGAAATATTTGAGTGGAAAATAATTTATTCAGTGAATTTACCTCGCCCCCATCATCTAAGACAAAGACCTCCCCATGCTCAAAAGGAGACATAGTGCCCGCATCAGTATTTAGGTAAGGGTCTGGAAATATAACCAAGCACGAGGTCAGGCTATTGAAACAATTAACATCAACATCCAAAGATATTGAAGGCGTTCCATGACAACGAATTTCAAGACGAAATCATATATAGCTTCAACAAACAATGCGACCACCCTTCATTTTTTTCTTTCATTTGAAATGTGAGACTAAAGGGATCAGAGACGAAAAAAACATGGGATAAATGATTTAAAATGATACCCAACCAAGTTCAGAGACAATGTTAAAAGAAACAAAACAGAAACAAAATTTCAACTAAAGACCAACTTCCAGAAATAAAATCCCTTACCCAAAATCCAAAAAGCTTCAAGATTTACTAACATAAAAACTTTAAATAAAACAAACAACCCAACAAAATAATCAATAAAAAACAAAAAAAACAACCCAACAAGAACAAACCATTTATCCACAACTTAATCTAATTAAAATGAAAACCAACCAAAAAAAAAAGGTGCAATCTCTGTCAAAGAATAGACAGGAAGACATTATAAAAAGAAAAAATAACATACCAATTTTAATAGAAGTAACTCGAAGACCACAGGCTTTGAGGAGAAGACCAATACTACTGGCAGTAACACCTTTTCCAAGTCCACTAACCACTCCACCAGTAACCAATACGTACTTCATTGTCAATGCTCTTTCTGATACAAAGAACGGAACTTTATTATTCAATACCAAAACCCACAAAAGTAGACACAAAAATGCACCAGAAAGCAAGCAAGCAAGCAAGCAACAGGAGTGGGTAAGGATAAATGGTGAAAGACTGAACCTTTAAAAAGAAATGAAGGTGTCTTAGTACTGATAAAACCAATGGATAAATGAGAATAAAAACGAATAAAAAGTTGAGAGGTTAATAAAGGAGAATAGATAAGAGATGTCATCAACATAGATATTGTACCCAAAGGGGGTTTTGGTGTGAATAATGAGAAAGCCACCTTGTTTTCAACGACGGTCTTTACAAAGCCAACCCTCACTTTCACCTGCACAAAGCTTCGCTCTTTCTTTCTTACTTTCTCTCTTTCTTCTGCTTTCTCTGCTTTTTAGTGACTATATGTTGGTGCTGTCTTCCTTTCTTAGTCTAGGTAAAGAAAGGTACGAGAAAAAGAGAATTCTTTCTCTCTTTCAAATCAAACAAAACCCACGAATGGGATTATAGAAACAATCAAAATCAAGAGAAAGAAAGATGCTAAAAAATCTCCCTGCTTAAACCAACCAAAGGCCTCCTCTCTGTTTTTGTTTCAGGGGCGGCGGGTTTGAGGATGCCTTCCTGCCACACCTTAATGTAGTAATAGTAGGAGAATTTTTTTTTCTTTTTCTATTCTATTCGAGTGTTAAAAAAAAAAAAAAAAAAAAGGAAAATGGCAGTTTTGTTTTTAAAATTTTTTTTAATATTGGTTTAGGGTTTTCTTGCTTTTTAGATTTTTTTGTTCTCTTTTTCCTTAGGGTGATATGGAGAGGGAATCCTTTTGCTTTAATCGGTAGGTTCTATAAAAAGGTTTTCTACTTTGATTTTCTAATGCAACGATAAATTGACTATGACCTGACCATGGATTCACACAATATACAAAAAGACAAATAGGGATTTTTCTGAGCGTGTTTTTTATGCAAAGAAAACAACGCATGGCACTCTAAACTAGTATTCTCCAACCCACCTACCTCTTCTCCTATTTAATGTTCTTTTCTTTTTGTTCGTACAGGATATAGTCTTATGTTTGGATATGCCAAAAACAGGTCATGGTGATATGCTAAAAACCTTAGACCGAGTTCAATTAGGACTTTTTCCCCACCATTTGTCTTTGCTTCTATCTCTTTGGCGTTTAGATGATGTTGATTTCTTTCATTACTTTACATTATCCCTCACTTAGGTTACATCTTTAAGACTTTCCCCTCGCTTGTCACTCCCTTTGCTTTATTGTTGTCTTTGTGATTTTCATGTTGGTTTAACTTTGCCCCCTCTTTTTAACTTGTTTTCATACTTTGCTTTGGCTTGAGAACTTCCTAGACTTTTTCCTCCTTTCCATATTACTGATTTTGGGTTCGGATTCAAAAGATTGAGATATAATGATAATAATACTATAAAACAAAAAAAAACCATTGATTTGTGGACCGACGGCACAAAACTAAAAACTTTCTAAATTGTTGTTTTAAAGATAAAAATGTATTTTCTTGCATTAGATGATTACTAGTTAATTACTTGCACTACGCAACAATTCGAATAGAGCAAAATTAGTTCAGTTCACAACTTTATGAAACCATGTTGAATCAAAAATTAAAAAAAAATAGTAAAGTTTTTAATTTTTAATCAAAATATTGTATTTAATTAATTTTTCTTTATTTTTTTCATAATTTTTCAACTCAAAAAAAAAAAAAACATGATTCTTTTTGTTATGCATTGATTCTTAAATAAAACCTTGTAATAATCTAAATTGAAAACTTAATCTAAAATTCAAAAACATGATATGAAAATATATTTTTCATCCTATCGTATCAAAAAATGATTTTTTATTTTTATTAATACCGATGCGAAGTTTTTTTTTTTTTGAAAGTATGTACATTTGATTTATATATATTATTCATAAAATAGTCAATAATGTTAGTATAAATAACTCGTACTTAAATCATTTGGTGGTTCTTTTTTAAAAAATATTTTAATTTTTTTATTTCTAAAAAATATTTTTGTGATATTACAAATAAAAATAATAAACGAGTTGGTGTTATTTGTATTGATGTATTTGTAACATTGATGATTCAATTTTTTTTATACGAGTATGACTATACTTAGTAGATTGAGAGAGTGAAACATAAACTAAAAAAAAAAATCGGACACAAATTATTTAAAATACACTTTTAACCTTTAAACTAAATATTTGTTTATAATCATGCTACCATTACTTAAAAATTTTAAGAGTCTATGATATAAATTATATTAATTTATTGCCTAAAAAAGAAAAAACAATCATGTTCTAAAAATCTATTTCAAAATCTATACGTAGATAAAAATATATCATATTTATTCAACAAATAAAATTTTATCAAAAATTAAAAATTCAATGGATGAGAATTTTCCTAAAAATGACAAATTAAAAAATAAATTTTAAATAATGAGAATAATATAATTTGAAAAAATATGTTCATCTTAAAATATGAAAAAAATATATTATATATATCTCATCCTCGCCATCCTACATTGAAAACACAAAAAACATTTGATCTTTCATGATTTTTTCCTAAAAATCTTCAATAAAAAAAAATATTGATAAATAAAAGCAAAAAAAAAAAAAAAAAACCTAAGGCGAGAGGCCCCGCATGCTTAGCTCTAGCTCAAGGCCTACACACTAACCATAGTTAACTCTTTTTTTTTTTCAAAAAAAAAAAAAAAAAGAAGGTAATGGACGATGTGTTATCCGTCGGCAATTTTCGACCAAGGAAAGTTGACCCGAAAAACGGTTTTTTGTATTTTTCGACTTTCGAAAGCCAAATCCAATTATTTTTTTCCCGAAAACACCTAAAAATCACATAAATAAGGTCTACAAACTCGTCCGGAGTGTCAAATTCCATTTTAGCGCATTCAAAATCCATAAAAATTCTAAATTAAACTTAAAAAGCTCAAAAAATCCGAAACTTCAATCTACCTCCTCTAACTATTTCAAGATCCGTGATCACCTCAAATAAATTATACTCTCCAAAACAAACAAAAATTAAGGTAATTTCGATAGTCAAGATGGTCGAAATGGACCTCGCCATTTCTCTCTCTCTCCCAACACCTCTCTTTTTTCCTCTCTCCTCTATTAGAAAATGAATCAAACAAGAAAATAAAATAAAAAGTACAAAAACAATCAATAAATACAAAGATTTATGTAGTTCAACAATCATGTTTACTTTATAGCTACACTAGAATTTTTTATTAGGATTTTATGAAGTGGTGGCAACAAATAAAAGTGATATTATTTTTATTTATAGTGTTGATAATTAGGATTATAACAAAAAAGACTTTATAGACCTATACACATGATTCTAATATTTTGTAAACCTTTTGAAGGCTCTGATCCTCAAGCTCTCGTAAAAACTACTACCCTCTTGACCCCTACTCACTAATAGAGCTAACAAGGTTGTCATATGCATAGCATCTTAAACTGCGAACCACATCTACTTCAGTTTCTACAGCTTAACGTTATTTTGGCATAAAGAAACCAAAATGTAATAAAGATAAAGTTTGGGATTGAAACTAAAGTTTTTTATAAGGACCAATGTGCAAACTTTTGGCCAAACAAATAATAAAAAAGAGATGGACGATCAGCATTCGCAAAAAGCAAGAATGGACGCCCGTCAAAAGTCACAATGGCGTCTACAGTGACTTGAATGGTAACGGATGACGCAAGGAATAGTAAACCCTCATTTCTGTTTTATATAATAATGGTTATAACAGAATATTCAAACTTTTATCAAAACTGTTATTTGTACTACATGGCAAATAAAAAAGTTGCCACGTCAGCTATATGACCACTTTTCCTGAGCCTGTTTTCTTCCAAATGTCCAAAAGTTTCTTTAAATTGTTAATTGTTTCATATTAGTCCAGATTAGTTGTATAAACGTTTTACACGATACTGAGACAGTTTTCAAGGTTATTATTTTTCTTAAAGAATCTTTTATTTTTTATTTTCAAATCTTGTTACGAGGACATCATGAATAAAAATTTAAAATAAAGGACAAAAAAGTCATTTCATCTCCAGAAATGGGACTGTTTCTGCTATTAAGACCGGTTAGCTTTTCCTTGCTTTCTCTCTCAGAAGATTCAAAGTCATTCAATAAAAAGGTAAAATAATCAGAAAAATTTTGTCGTTTTTATTAACTGGGGCCACGATTTGCCATTTATATTTTATTGATTTTTCATTTTACAATAATAATAACTGTTGGAAACTAAACGCTATTAGAGCTAAGCCATTATTATTTTAAAAAGTATTACGGCATTTTTTGCTTTTAAATTGTTGCAGTTTGACAATCTCGAATATAAAATATTAAATTATATAATTTAAGTTTTAAAATATTAAAAATTAGATAAACATGATCCAAATTATCTAATTTTTACTATTTTTAATCATCAACTATCAATTTTTTTTTCAATTGAAGTTAAGAAGAATTGAAAAGGATGAGACTGGTCTAAGGTATGCAATCTGCCTTATCCTTTTCAATTTCTCTCGACTTAGAGTTCTCTTTATTGCGGTCTAAATCCATAAACTTCTACACAAGTTTCGCAATTTCCCCTCAAATTAACAAATTTGCTTCTTTCACACCTCTCTTGACCTTCCAGCCAATCCTCCAACCTTCTAAAATTTGCTTACTATTTGGATCTTGATCCAAAACTAAAGGGAAAGTAAGCATTGGAACACCAGCAAAAACTGCTTCTAGCGTAGAGTTCCATCCACAATGTGTCCAAAACCCCCCATTGGAAGAATGGCACAGCACTTCTAATTGATCACACCAAGGCATCAGCACTAGCCCTATATCATCATTACAAATCTCCTTTAACCGAGAAGCTTCCCCGCCTGCCACCCACAAGTATCGAACACCACTATCTTGAAGCCCAGCAATAATTTCATCCATTTGGGTGCTTGAAACAGAAAGGAAAC